GAACGATAAAGACCTTTCTTAAAGGATATTGTATTTGGTTCACCCTCATAAGGTGTAAGAAATAAGTCGAGCCATTTTTTTGCTTGACCTACAAAAAAAGACAAATCAGTTCCTGGTTGCTTCATAAGTTTGTAAAGCACATAAAAGTCTCTCCACAAACGATTGATTAATGTAGCCCGCTCTTTGTCAAAAATAACATCAAAGTTAAAACCGTGCAATATCTTTTCCTTGTCATCTCCCATTAGGGGAGTATAATTCCAGTTTTCCGTATTATGTTCCTGCCAAAATTGAAAATTTATTGAAATTCTATCCATCTCTCTGACAATAACTTTTCTATTATATTCATCATATCTACATTCGGATTTAAGTTCCTGGATGACTAATTCCCATAATCTGTCATAAATTCTTAACATAACGTGGAGCTCGTCAGGTACATAATGATCCAGAGGGATCATTGGAATGAGAGGTGCTTTTGAATGCCCGGGTGGTGGTCTTGCAGCTTTAATTTGTTCCATATTTTTTTCAATGGTGTAAACTTTATCTTTTATACCTATATCCTTTTTAGTGCACAAGCACCAAGGACAAAAATAAGTCGCATTTGGTGCATTAAACCCCAAGATTATGCACATAAATTTCCAATCGCTACTAAAAAAAGGCACTATTTTCCATTTGATTCCAGTGAAATCGTCTAACCCATTTTTTATTAAATTATCCAATTCACTAACTACCGGTGCTGTCACCTTCTTTAAAAGATCATAGTTTTCTGACCCAGGGCATAAAACGATCGTATAGTGATAATCAGCATTGTAAAGATTTGATACATCGTCTAGAATCGCACATGTAATCATTACATGCTTGATTTTTCTATCTACGTTTCTACCGTCACCTGATATGCGGATATGGATTACAGGATTATTTATATTTAAAACTTTACGATCTACAAGGCCTGGAATTAAAAAGAGTAAGATGTCCGTTATATGTCGATAGCCTGCCTTGCTGATGTATTTTAGCATCTCTTCTTCAATTTCCGGATCATTAATATCGGATGACTCATTTGTAGCTATAAATGTAAGAGGTATGTCTGTAATGTTTAAAATTGAAATAGGAATTTGTTGACTCATCTCTCCATTAATTTTTTTCCTAGTACTTAAAATGGCATGATCACGTGGTAGTTCATATTGAAGAGCAGCTAACTTTCTATAAGCATCTCTAGAAATTGGACTTTGATCAATAATTTTTGTAATTGCTTCAGTATGTTGATTATTTTTTTCTCTATTTTTATGGAAACTAACAACATAATCCTTCTCTTGAACATTAAATCGTAACTCTTGAAGGGCTGGTTGATCAACCGGATTATAGAACTTTGGAATTACATTTTTAAAGGCAGTACCAACTTGCATTGAAAATGCGTGGGAACGTTTGGTTTTCATAGACTCGCTTAACATGTGAAATGGTTTGAAAGAATGAGAATGATTTTTTTTTTCTCGCTCTTTTTCTACGTCTATTGCATTAAGCCCAAAAACGTGAACCCCGGAAAGTTTGGCTTGCGTATTTGGATTTCTTTTCTATATAATAGAATTTTATTTTATTTTATTTTTATAAACATATATACAATACATAATTATAAAAATTTATTATTAAAATATATTAACTTGTAAATATTCATTGGCTGCTTTAGTCGAAGAATCCTTCGATTCTATTACAAATTTTTGGCCATTATCCTCAAACCTAATTATAAATACAGGTTTATTTATTTCATATTTAACCTCACATTCTATTACATGCTTTGACCATCCTCTGCCCCATCTTGTTTGTACTAAATAATTATCTGAAATCTTGTATTTAGTTCTGTTACGAGAGAAAGCTGCGGTATAATGTACTATGCTTGTTGGCGGATAAAATCCTTCACTAATGATAGTGTATGTATAAGTAGTATTGTTTTGCTTAAGAGAAAAAGGGTTGTCTTCAGGGTATTTACTTTGGCTAAGAGACATCCTGGTAGAAAAAACTGTTGTTTGATTTGTTATTTTTTTTTTTGCTTTTTTTTTTCCTTTCCGCTAGTACATAGAAGCCTTCAGGCTCTTTTCAGTAAGATATTAAAGGTTCATAAAATTTTATAACAAGTGTTTTTTGTGAACAACCTCAACAAGGTACTATTTGACGATGCTGATGTTCATTATGCTTTTTTTTTTT